GCCGCTGCCCGCGCGCGCACGTGTGGTGGGCCGCCCGGCCGTGCCCCTCTCCCTCTCCACCCCTGCTCACACTCCTAGCAAGCTAACAAGCACCCGGCCTCACACGCCGTGTACCTCTGGGACCAGAAAGGGGCAACACTCCCCACAGGGATCATTTGTTCCACTTGGCAGCGCCTGGGGCTCCAAGACAGCAAGGCTACCGAGAGCATGCCGGCCACGTCCTATCCCCCAGCCAGGTAACCCCACTGCAGCTGGGAGCGTCTTTCAGCCGAGCTGCTGCTGCAAGCTCCCCAACTCCAGCTCCCCTGGCACCGCACGCAGGGCAACCTCCGCACCTCCTGCTAGAGGCCTCCCCCCTGCCCACCAGGGCTTGGCTTGGCTTGGCTTGGCTTCCACCGCCGGGGCCCCAATCCTTGTGGAAAGCCTTGCCTGCAGAGACAGCAAGGCCCTCCTCCCCATCCTCCCTTGGCCCTTGCCCTGCTCCAGGGCTGCCATCCCACTGCACACACTGTGCTCCCAAACAAAACAGCACCTTGGCTTTTGGTTTCAGAGCTGCCAGGATTGGCAATGCCAGGGCAAAGGGATTGGCCTCAGAAAGGCATGGGGTGAAGCATGTGAGAAGGCAGCCCTTGAACCACGGAGTCCAACCCACAGCTCCAGTAGCAGCTCCTTCTGCCTACCTGGCTGGAGCCGGGGCCGCGGAGGGACAGGGAGCACCAGGCTGGGATGGTGCAAGGCACGGCCCAGCTGGGGGTCGAGCTTCTCCCCGGTGCAACACCAGCAAGGACACGGGGCTGCTGGGTCTAGCAAAGGGAAAGGCAGACCCAGTCCCCAAGTGAGGAAGGAGCATGGCAAGGGGAATCCCACTGCAGGAAGAGTCGTGGAGACACCCTCCTGGGCTGAGCCACTTGTCACCTAGGGATCCACAAGCCCCGGGGCAGCTGGGTCTAGCAAAGGGAAAGGCAGACCCAGTCCCCAAGTGAGGAAGGAGCATGGCAAGGGGAATCCCACTGCAGGAAGAGTCGTGGAGACACCCTCCTGGGCTGAGCCACTTGTCACCTAGGGATCCACAAGCCCCGGGGCTGCTGGGTCTAGCAAAGGGAAAGGCAGACCCAGTCCCCAAGTGAGGAAGGAGCATGGCAAGGGGAATCCCACTGCAGGAAGAGTCGTGGAGACACCCTCCTGGGCTGAGCCACTTGTCACCTAGGGATCCACAAGCCCCGGGGCTGCTGGGTCTAGGGGGCCCCCTGCCTCTCCCCCGGAGGGAGCAGGGCCCTGGGTCAGCCAGAGGCAGCCGACTTGGAGCAAGGCTCGTCTCTTCTGCCCTTTGCTGCTTCCACCGCCTCTGCACAGCCAGCGGCACCTCCCCAAACCAGCCCTCCAGGCAGCTTTCTGCAGCAGGCTCCAGTGCTCCCCCAGTCCCTGCCCCGGGGTCGCTCGGCCACACGCAGGGACACAGCCGCGCTAGGGGCTGCTCCCACAGTCCCCCGGTCAGCTCAGACCCCTGCAGACCTGTAACTCTGGCCCAGGTTTTCACAGCAGGGTGGGGAAGGGACTCAGCCACTTAGTGCCTGGTAACGGGATCAGACAGTTTTAGCCACTCGCTTGGTGGTTCAAATCCAGGTCAGGACCAGCAGGGAGCTGCGGTCGGCTGGGCATGGCTGACAGGAGTGGGACCAGCTTGGAGGGCTCCTCTGCCTCCCCACCCCATCCCCAGGCCCCCAGATATGCACAGCCCTCCCCAGGGGAGCATGGCCTGGGCTGACCGCTCCCCTCAGCCCAGAGGCAGTGCGCTCAAGGGGGATCAGTGAGTATCCTGCCCTGCAGCAGCCCAGCTGGCCTGGTGCCTGTGGGCATGGGGCCCTTCCTCTGGCACCTGAGAACAGGGGCACTAGAAGCAGGTTGCAGCCGCAGTGACCTCAGCCCGTGCAGCAGGGAGGCAGGGGCTGCAAGCCGACGGCTGGAAAGGGAACCCAGGGTCCAAAGCCCCACCCCCCTGCCGCAGCCCTAGCAGCACTTCCCGGTGTGGCCGTCAGCCAGCAAGGAGCTGTGCGCACGGAGCGCCCCAAGACTGCTCCAGGAGAGCACGAAGCCAAGCCAGAACAGGGCCCATGGGGGCTACACAACCTCAAACTGACCCACTGGAGGGGACCCCCCCATTCCTGCCCCTCTCCCCGCTTTCCAAGGTGCCAGCCCTGGAGAGTCTCAGTTACACACCTCTCCCAGCCCATCCCACCCAGCGCAGCCCTGGACCCAGCCTCCCCCTGGGAGACGGCTGCGGAGCCCAGACGGAAACACCTTGGAGGTGTTCAGGGAGGCACCGCACGGAAAGGGTGCACGGCCGGGCAGCCGACCCTGCCCAACTACCAACCTGCAAGGGACTGTGGACAAGCCTCTTCCCTCCATGCCTGGGCCCTCGTGCACAACATGGGGAGTTGGGAACGGGGCAGAGCACTGCCTCTGGGGTAGCAAGAAGCAATCTACTACAAAATGGCTGCTTTAGGGCTGCAGCTGCTGCGTTTTGGGAGATTTAAAGGATAGGCACCAGCACAGGTGTTTGCAATAGGATAATCAGCTGGGAGCAATCTCCTCCAGGCCCTGCCCTGCCATGTGCCCCCAGTTTGAACCCACACTGATGAAGTGCTGCTGCGAAGCAAGGGCTGGCCTCAAGGCAGGCTGGCAAGGGGCTCCTGTGTGCTCAGCCACTTCTATTGCAATGACCTTTCCTCCCTGGCAGTCCTTGGTCCTGGTTTTGGGGTCCCTGGCTCGGCACTGCCCACACATGGGCAAACAGCAACACACGTGTTTAAAGCCACTGTCACACCCGAGTGCTTGAAGCATGTGCCCGTCCCCCCATGCCTATGCAGAGCCCCCCGGCAAAGGTGAATCTAGATCCACCCAGTGGGGCTGCATCCAGCAGCGATGGACAGTGTCGCTCCGGCAGTTCCTGGAGCACTTTTTCTCTGTCCAGGACAGGCTTACAGCGCAGGTTTGCTGGGGAAAGGAGCAATGAAGTCATTCCAGGAAATCAGCTTGTTTCGTGCCTCCCCCTAGCGTTGCAGCACTGGAGCAAAGAGTCGAGTGCGGAGCGGCTTGGGCACAATACTGTCACCCTTGCATGGCGAACAAAGGAGCCGGGGCATCAGCCGGGCTCTGAGCACTTGTCCACATCAGTCGCCGGCTCCAAACACCGGCCTGCACCTAGGCAGCGAATGCATCTACCAGTGCTGCCAACCCCCGCTTGCAGGGGGCAGGCATGGGGGCTGGCCAGGGAGCACCCCGCCACATGGGCATGGGCCTTGGGGCCCAGCTGTGATTGCATTTGAAGACTTGGCACAGCCTGGGGGCTGCACGAGGCAGCATGCTCAGGACCACCCTTCAAAGCACACTGCTCGCTTGCTCTGCCAAGGTCCTGAAAAGCAGGAGCTAAGGGGTCTGGGCAGAGGCAGGCTTAGAGAAATGGCTCCTGCCCAGGCTGTGCCAGGAGAGGGCAGAGGCCAGGGCAACCCTTCCCCAGACCCCCTGGTAAGCGCAGCGTACCAGCTCCCAGCCCCATGTGGCTGCCTTCCCCAG